GGTGGTGAGACACTGGAATAGGTTGCCCAGAGAAGCTGTGGATGCCCCCACCGTTACAAGTGTTCAAGGCCAGGTTGGATGGGTCTTTGAGCAACCTGGTCTAATGAAAGATGTCCCTGCCCAAGGCAGGGGGGTTGGACTAGACGACCTTCGAAGGTCCCTTCCAACCCAAACCCTTCTGTGATTCTATGATTTTTCCAAGCGTACCTTAAGAAAACTTCAGCTGTCTATCCATAATGATAAATATACTCAGCCTTTTTAGTTTCTTGGTGTGTAGGGAGGGTTCCTCTGAACGCTCTCCAAATACTCAATGGTTTTGTGGCTATGTAGACAGCAGAACTTGTACACTGCTGTACTGGAAATCATAAGCAGATAGTGTTGGCTGCAAACATCTACTTGAGTCCCCTTCTGGTGACATCTTTATATGCTGTTCTGTTCGGGGTACCTGTTCGTCTGACTCAAGCCTTTTCCAGAGCCATGTCTCTGAGGATTGTTTCTTGTCTAATTGTAACTTGTAGAATTCCTGTGTGCATAACATTACTTAGCTGATTTAAATAACTTGCTCTTAAGGTAAGTTCGTGGTACCAAATAGTTCATATTATTGTATGTTGAAACTGAGATTCCACCATATTTTTTATCTGCAAATTTTACTAGGTATAATTTGGTGAGTTTTTCCTATTAATTGCTGATGTATTGACTCAAAAGTGCCTCCCCACAGAACCCTACTAGAAGGACTTACACTGAACTCTTAATTCATTATTACTTTTCAGTATCTTCTGCAGCCCAGTTTTGGGGTATCGAATATATTTTCTTTGGAATGTAGTAGAGAGCTAGTGCTGTACTGGTAGACTTCTGTGTCAGCTTAATTTGTAGTCTCATAAAAAATGGCACATTCTGTTACATTAGCACAAAAATCTAAGGGGTTTTTTTGTATTAATTATGTTAGCACAATTAGTTTGATACTGATTGCATCTGTGAAAGCTTTGCCGTGATTCTTCCTGGTACTGGTCAGGCTAAACAACTACTTTCATGTAAACCTGTTTGTCCCTACAAAGTACGCTGACACAGCTTAGGGGGGGTTTTTGCCAGTTTTAAAATTAAGACATTACAATCTTCTGCTTTAGTGCTTTAGAAGTCAGGGGTGAAGAGATCTGTCTGTTGTACAAAGACAAGCCAGACTTGGGGACCCTGAGCTCTTTGTTAGAGCATGTCTTGGGACTCTTGGTCTCCTATCAATAAATTAAAAATGTAGCTTATAAAGGGTAGTGTCTATGGATGCCTTACCTGCAGGTTCAGAAAGTGACAAGTTCTTGCCTATATGATGTAGTATTCTTTTGTTTCCCTTTCAGCAAACTTAGTAAGCTGGAGCACTTGGAAGAGCTGAATCTGAGTGGCAACAAACTGAAAACCATTCCCACAACAGTGGCAAACTGCAAGCTACTTCATACACTCATTGCACACTCTAATGAAATCAGCGTCTTTCCAGAGATCCTACACTTGCCCCGTATTCAGGTATTCCTATGGAGAAGGTAATGAGGTATCAGGGGAAAGTTTGGGTTGGAGAATGAAGAGTAACTGCTGGGAGAGTTACTGGAGATCCCGGCATTTTGCTTGATCAGCCTGAGAAGAGGGCACAGAATACGCATTCTAGATCCGTCGCCTTTCTGAGTTGATCAGAGATGGCTCGTGTCTCATTCGTCTTTACCGTCCGTCTCTGGCTTGGTGCATGTCTGGCTTACCACGTGAGACGGCAGGGAGCCTTGTATAGCTAGGCAGGTTTGTACACATAGGCCTTCTGTTATCTTTAGTCTGACCTGTTCTTTCAGTATTGGAGTCCTGGCTATTGCAGGTTATAAGTATTTGCTGCTTATAAATCGTTCTACTGATAGGTCAGGCCCCTTTTCGTGACCTGTTTGTGGGATGCAGTCAGTAGTGGGGTCATATGATGTTTGGAAGGAGCACTGGAGTAACTGATCACATGACAGAACAGAGAATATTTTCTTTGTCATTTTGCTTTTTTTGATACTGCAGCTTGTGGACTTGAGCTGCAATGATTTAACTGAAATCCTCATCCCTGAGGCACTGCCAGGTGCCTTGCAAGAGTTGGACCTGAGCGGAAACACAAACCTGGTGCTAGAACACAAGACGCTGGACATCTTCAGGTGAGCCATGGAGATGCCAACCCAGTGGTGACATGCACAGGGAAGGGTAACCCTTCCCAGGAGGGGGAGTGGGATAGTAAAGTGTGTATCACAGCACTGCGTAATGTTAAAAAGTTCCCTGCCTGAGGCAGCTGAAGATTTCCATCTTGTAGGAAGGGAAAGGTCTGGGTTCATAGCAAGCCAACAGTTTCTTGGGTGGTATAAGGTTCTTGCAGCCGTCTCTGGAGAAGCAGCCAGACATCTCCAGAAGGCCAAAACCTTAAACTCCTCTCCTTGGTGCAGTTCTTTCCACAGGCTGCAGTCTAAAACTCTAGACTGGACAAGGTTCTTTGGCCACAAACTGGTCAGCAAGGTCTAGGAGTGAATGACTTCTGTTCTTCTCTCTCTGTAGTCACATTACCACACTGAAGATTGATCCTAAGCCCTCCCTCGCAGCAGACTCAGCAGTCGCTTCTACCTTCTGGAGTCATGGAGTAGCTGAGATGGCAGGCCAAAGAAATAAGTGAGTATTGTGGTCTGCTGGACGCCAACGCTGTGTCATCTTAAGGTGCTACGTGGAGTGCACTGCTAAGCACCTAAGCAGACCTGTGTTGTTCAAGAGCTCATTCATCCCTCTGTCTCCCCAGATCTCTTGCTAAGTCTTGGTAACTCAAGCCTCCACATTGTCCTTTCCTTCAGTTTTCACACTTATACTGGGGCACCTGGACTTTGCTTCCCACCCTAGCAGAGATGCTGCTGCTTTCTCTTGCTGGCTGTGCCCATTGCCGTCTCCTCAGTGTGGTCAGGGAGGGTTTGGGGGTTCCAGTAATAAACTGCAGCTGTGCATCTCATGGGGCAGTGAAGGCAGGGACAGTGGCTTTGCTGCCTTGGAGAACAGCACTCACGGCAAGGTGCCCGATGGCTGTGGTTTTGGGGACCTTGTAATCTTTTGAGACATATTAACTTTGCCTCTGTGCTTTTCTAACAGGCTGTGCGTGTCATCCCTGGCACTGGGGAGCTTTGCAGAGGGGGTGGAGGCTGTGTATGGCATGTTTGATGGTGACAAGAACGAGGAGCTGCCACGCTTGCTGCAGTGCACCATGGCCGATGTGCTCCTGGAGGAGGTACAGCAGTCAGACACCATGTTCATGTCCAACACCTTCTTGGTCTCCCACAGGTAGGACAGTGAGCAAGCTGGTCCTGGTGGGACCTGCATAGGTATATCACTTCATGTGTTAGGTGGGGTGAGGCAGCCCTCCAGAATGCCTGTCGCTGGAGTCTGGAGCCTTCCTACACCTTCTCCTCCAACAGGAAGCTGGGCATGGCTGGGCAGAAGCTGGGTTCCTCTGCTGTCCTTTGCTATATTCGTCATGATGTGGCTGATCCAGCCAGCAACTTCTCTCTGACGGTGGCCAATGTGGGGACGTGCCAAGCCATTCTGTGCCGAAGTGGAAAACCACTGCCACTCTCCAAAGTCTTCAGCCTTGAACAATGTTCAGAAGAAGCCAAGAGAGTCAAGGAGCAGAAAGCCATTATAACGGAGGTTGGTTTGGACCCTCTTCACTTCAACTTCCACCCTCCCGTAAAAGTGTGGTGCAAATACAAGAGCTCTGCTGCCTGCACAGTACTGCAGGGGAGAGGATGGCATGAGTGTGTTGGAGTGAATTCTGTTGCTTCCTGCTCTGCTTCTCTTGCTGATCAGCTATTCCGAGTTACGTGTTCCTAAAACACCCATTATGGCATGAGAACTACAGGTACAGAATGCCAAGGATGGCTTGGGGAGAGAGGGGAGAAAGAAAATAGGGGTGGAGCTAAAGGAGGGGAGGTGCATAATGCTGTGCATGGCTTGCGTGAGTGTGGAGAGGAGCCACTGAAGAACAGAGCAGGGCCTGTGAAGTCGTCTTGTCTCAAAAACCACAAAGTATCTTCGGTGTTTCTTGAAAAGTATGACTTGAGTTACCTCTCCTTGAATTTCTTCCATGTTTTACTCAGTGAAGGTACAGGAATAGTGGCCCTTGAGACATGCAGAACATAGCTATAAGGTATAATAAAGGTAAAAATTGTAACACAAGACAGAAATGTTCATTGGTTTTATGTGAAAGGATTAAAATTATTTCTGGAGGACTCTCTAAAGGTGTACTTTCTGAAAACTTGGAAACAACAGGGCAGTTCCAAAGAACTGGAAAATACGTCTTCGGTGAAGATCTGAGAAATCAGCACCAGTCACACAGTTTTATGCTCAGTGGGTCTTTTAAAAAGTACGAGGTTGTTTGATAAGAGTGTTTCTGACAGGGATAATCTGTTAATGCGTTATAGCTCTGCAAGGTGCTATGTTCCATAGCACTCTGAGTCAAAGGAACTGTGGAGCCAATGTAGCACGTTAAGCAGTTTAAAAACTGGCTGATGAATGGATTCTGAAAAATAGAAGTGAAATCATTGTCTGCGAAGACTTCCCTGCATGTGCCCTCTGCTGGTTTTTAACATTTAGCAGCAGCAACGTCTTACACCCAGAGGATACAGAAATTAAGAACACTGAAATTAAATTCAAAACACTGGGGAAGCTGTGTACTCTGTACACACTGACTTGGAAAGGGACTGAGGGCTGTGAGCAATTTTCTGTCCAGGAGACTTAGTGCCAGGCTGGCCAGGGGACTGCCAAGCAGTGGCAGGAAGAAGGAGGTCACACCTCCAGGCTACAGCAGTAGTGCGAGATACCTGCTTGCTCTTTTCTTCCTCAGGATGTAGTGTCCACACTTCAGAATGCAGTTGTATGTTAATAAAGAGGGAAATAGTTCAGAAAATACACAGGAATTATTTAATGTCTGGATGATAATCTGCCTTGCAATGAGAAAGTAAAAAGTCACTAGCTCGCTCATGCTGAAAAACTAAGTTTCATGTAAGACTCATGAGTGGGGTTCTCTGATCAGTGTGCTGCAGGCACTATTCCAGTTGGAATAATTTGCCACAATTCTTCAGAATGTGACAAAAAGTCTCGCGGAATAACAGCGTGTTATTGCCAGTGTGGGTGATGGGTGATTTCTGTGCCTGACGATCAGGTGCAGCGAACGCCTCTGCTGTGGTACCTGGGCCTGGATCCCTCTCTCCTGTGTTGGAGCTGTATGCTGGCATTTCTCAAGGCTCCAAACCAGGATGTGGGCAGGGGAAGGACTGACAGCAGACCTAACACTGCTGCCTTGTTTCTGTTCTCTGCAGGACAATAAGGTCAATGGTGTGACTTGCTGTACCCGGATGCTGGGCTGCACATACTTGCATCCTTGGATCCTGCCCAAACCACACGTCCGTTCCATTCCGCTGACTGTACAAGATGAGCTGCTGCTGCTAGGGAACAAAGCTCTCTGGGAACACCTTTCTTACACAGAGGCCATCTCAGCCGTGCGGCACCTGCACGACCCGCTAGCTGCTGCGAAGAAACTCTGCACTTTAGCCCAAAGCTACGGTTGCCAAGACAATGTAGGTGCAATGGTGGTGTGTCTGAACATTGGTGAGGACAGCTGCACATGTGAGATGCATGGCCTGACTCTGCCAGGTCCTGGGGGATTTAGTTCCACCACCACCAAGCCAGCAACACCTTCATCTAGCAGTGGAGTTGCTTCAGAGTTCAGCAGTGAGCTGTCTGCTTCTGAGGTTAGCAGTGAGGTGGGCTCTACTGCTTCCGATGAACACAGTGCTGTTGGTCTTGATGGCAGTTTGCTACCACGGCAAGAGCGACGTTGCAGCCTGCACCCTGTGCCCCCCTCAAGCATCTTTCAGCGCCAACCTTCTAGTGCCACCTTCTCGAGCAACCAGTCTGACAACGGTCTGGATAGCGATGATGAGCAGCCTGTGGAAGGCGTGATGACAAACGGCAGTAAAGTGGAGGTGGAGGTGGACATCCACTGCTGTAAAGGGAAGGGCCTGGAGTTTGAACCTCCTGCTGCAGAGTACAGCTCCTCTGCTCCAGGGCCAGAGGATGACTCTGGGCTTGTCCTCGTCATTCGGAGACAGAACAGTGTAAACAGCAACACTCTGCAGAGAGGGGTCAAGGAAAAGTGTGAACTGCAAAAATCTCTTTCCACGTGCTGTCTCTATGGAAAGAAGCTTTCCAATGGCTCCATAGTGCCCTTGGAGGAGAGCCTCAACCTCATCGAAGTAGCCACAGAGGCACCCAAGAAGAAGACGGGGTATTTTGCTGCTCCATCCCAGATGGAGCCAGAGGATCAGTTTGTGGTGCCACCCGATCTGGAAGAGGAAGTAAAAGAACAAATGAAGCAGCACCAGGAGAATGGAGCAGATCAGGAAAAGGAGGAGGAACATGCCACGGCTCTGCCAGAGGAGTTTGACACAGCTTTGTAACCCTACAAGTACTGCTCCCACGTTGTCTGTCCCGGGAAGCTCTGTCCCTGAAGGGCTGTCTCGCCCTCCGAGGGGAGCTGGGATCTGCAGGGAGTACAGGCATCTGCTGCTTCCTTCATGGCGTCGAGGAAGAACGGGGAGCGCTAAGGTCTGGGCTGTCCCCTTTTCACGGCAGAGTCTCAGTTGTTCTGTGAGCACTCGGATCAGCAGCTGGGCTCTGTGGTAGGGACTGTCTGGAAATCGTGCAAGCACCGAGGTTCTGCCAGCTCCGCAGGAAAGGGGTTGGCACGTGGCGGGAGGGGGGGGTGAGGAGGCTGCTGAGGGGGCAGTGTTTGGCGTTTGGAGTCCTGTGAATATTTCTGATGCAGCCCCCTCCGCCGGCACGTGACTTTGTTATTCTTTGAAAGAATACAGCCAGTTGCAATGAAGCTGACCCAAGAATGGTTTCCTACATTAATTGCAAGCACTTTTATTGATTGCACTTAAGCTGTTCTGCTCCCCTTCAGCCCAGCACTTTATTATTTAGGGCTAGGGGAGAGAGCACTCCGCAGCAGGTGTGGTGGGGGCTTTTCCCAATGGATATTGTCAGGGCAATGGAGGACTCAGGGTACCAATGTTCTGAGGAGCACTGGTGCAGGAGAGATGAGGGTTAGAGTGGGATCAGGCTGTGCAGGAGGAGAAGGTACACGGCTGAGTGAGAAGCAGGTGCCTACTGATGCATTTTACACGGAGCATCAGCGAGATCAGCTGTGGGCTGGCTGGCTGAGGTAACACGCAGAGCTAGTGCTTCGAGCTGCAGAGCACGCACCCAGCTCCGCAGCAGCCTGGCCCCCTCCATCGTGGATGCTGCGGAGCAGAGGCTTCCTGTACCCAGAAGACACAAGATGAAACCAGGAGCTCCCGCTTCTTTCAGTGAGCGCTCGGTCTGAGAGGAAACCAAGCTGTAAGCAGTGGTGCGCTGCTCTAAGGCTAGGGAGCAGTGGGGCTGCCCTTCCTATGCCGGGGACGCGTTCAGTGCTCTGTTCCGCCAACATAAACCTCTGCACCATCAGCTACAGCATCTTTGCTTGCTTCTGAAAACAGGAGTCTTACTCTAAATCCACAGCAACCTGCATTTCATGGTACATGCCCAGTTTGGCCACAAAGAAAGTGAAAGCATACTTGTTTCTGCTTAGCTTTCAATGGAAAAGGAAAAATAGACCTTTTCACCTTAATAACGTCTTTATTAGCACTGGAAAAGATGTTTAAAACAGTCCCACTATCGGTGCACTGGCCAGTCTGCACTCGGCGGATGCATTGCGTTTCCCTTAGGATTTTTGGTGTGAGTTGGCTGCCTGTCGTCAGCTCGTGTGAGGGTTGGGAGAAGACCACTGCCCCCGCAGCGTGCAGAGCTCTCTTCCCTGGCTGGCAGAACGCCAGGCAGCAGCTGCCCCGGTCACGTCAGCGGTGCAGTAATCCTGGCTGTGACGTGGGCTAGTGCCTTTTCTTCTTCGTTAATTATGTTTGTGAAGAAAACTTGAAAATTTCTTCTCAAGAGCTCTGAGGGGCTTGAGTTGTATATTTTTGGATCAAATTCAGGCCTTGCTCAGAAGGAAATACTGTGCAGACTACTTGTGGGATTCTGTCAATATAGATCTTTTGACGAAATCTAATGGAGTTTTACTGAGATTTCAAAGCACCTTGAATTTATTCTTGCTGGGAAAAAAATGTATTTTTACCATGAATGAGAGCGCAGCATTTCAAGACCACAGAATCACAGAATGGTAGGGGTTGGAAGGGACCTCTGTGGTCACCCAGCCCAACCCCCTGCCCAAGCAGGGTCACCCAGAGCAGGCTGCACAGCACCGTGTCCAGGCGGGGCTTCAATATCTCCAGAGAAGGAGACTCTACAGCCTCCCTGGGCAGCCTGGGCCAGGGCTCCGTCACCCTCAGAGGGAAGAAGTTCTTCCTCGGGTTCAGCTGGAACTTCCTCTGCTTCAGTTTGTGCCCATTGCCCCTTGTCCTGTCGCTGGGCACCACTGAAAAGAGTCTGGCCCCGTCCTTCTGACCCCCACCCTGCAGATATTTACAGTCATTTCTAAGGTCCCCTCTCAGCCTTCTCCAGGCAGATGTACCTTGTGCTAGCTACAGTGTAATCCTGAAGCAACCCAACTTTTTCCAACTCTCGCACATTTTTGCTGTTGAAATGCCCGATTCATTTTGAAATGGAGAGAAAAGCTAATTCTTAGAATCACAGAAATGGCAGCATTTGAATCCCTTAGAGAAATAACAGCAGAAAAGATTCAGAAACTAAACCTCAAACCTCTTTCATGTTCTCTTCATATAAGAATGCAGAAAAGGCCCATCCCAGTGTATTTGTAACTTTTAATTCTGTCACTGGTGATTATTTAACCAAATATCTGTGCCCAGCCCAATGCTTTCCAATACCCGACAGGGCTGCAGAGCAGTCTCTGTTCCATGTGGGACTGATGCAGAAATACCCTCTTCTTTCTGAGACTGTGACAAACCTTGCACTAGGAGAGCAGCAGGTGTTAATGCAAATCGGGTCTCTGTTTCTTGCACTGATGTGGAAAATCCAGCGTGTCCTTGCCAGTCTGAACCCGTAGCATTGCACAGAGAGCTGGCATCGCTACCGGGAGTTAGCCAGGGATGACTCTGCCTAGCTCAGTGGGGAAGGACTAAGGAAAATGAAGCTCTTCGATGGAGCAGCTCGAAAATTTGCATGCTCCTCTTCACGGTAGTGCCAGAATGGAATGCAAGAATTCCTACTTAGCCTTTTTCTCCAGCGCCGTTTCTGGTTTTGAGCAGAAAGGGAGTGTAATACAGCCAGCTCCTATTTTCTGTGGGTGTGAACTGTCATGCCAGAACATGGCTTGTTCTCTTACACTGGGTAGCGTCCACGGAGCACTCTGCTTAAGCTGGTATTATGAACTGTTTGTCTTACTCTGGCCTGAGTGCTTCCCTCCACCACCCCCTTTTGTTTTCCTCCCTCCCTGGAGGCAGTGAGCTTCCCCTTTGTCTTCCTCTCCTTACTTACTAACACCACCTTAGATTTCGAGCTCCCTAGGACCACTGCTGTAGGTGGAGCAGGTGTGAATGAGCAAGTCCAGTGAAGGACTCGTAGCAGGGACAGAAAGTGTTTGTTTTCCCAGTCTCTTCCCTGATTTTTGTATGGGGTTCGTGCGCGGGTAGATCATCTCCAGAGCCACATCGCTAAGAGCGTCCCATTCATTGACAGCCTTGCTGTCAGAGAGCGGGTCTCAGCTCAGGGTCACCAGGCTCTCTGGTCCCTGCTGAGCAGCGCCGGACCTGCTGTGCTCCGTGCAGCCACAGTCAAGCCAGGCCGGCGAGCTGGGGTGTCCAGCTCCTCCGTAACCCCGGCTCCACTGACAGCGTGCTGGCTGAGCACAGCTACTCTGAATGCCCTGCCCTGCCCCGAAAGGCTTCCGCAAACGGAACCCATAGAGGCTGTAGTCAGTGACGAGTGGTGGGGGCCCAAGTATTAAGGGTAAGGGACAGCCTCCGCCTAGCTCCCAGCACCCGGAGCAGGCCTGGCGGAGGCAGTGCCACGGATTGCTGGAGCCTGGTCAGAACCCCCCACCAGCGGGGAGGGTAAAATCCTGTTCCAAGAAGGAGCGAGTCTTTCCCAGGGAAGGGCTGCTGTGAGGCCCGGAGCCCTGCTCCTCGCACACGGGATGCTCAGCCACGCCGAGGGCCCGCGGCCATTGGGATTTCTGCGCTTCTGCCGGCTGGGATGGCACTCCTGTCGCTTGCCAAAGGCTGCCTGTGGGCAGTACGTCCACCTCTTCGGTTTTATGCAATTGTCATCTGCTGTTCCCCTGCTGTCTGAAGACTCAAGTGTATTTTTTGCCCTCCTTTTCACATTTTAAAATGTTACCTGTTCTTTTAACTTGACTCGTATGACCCAGTGCATGTTAAAGAAATACTGCAGCGCACCGTTTAAGTCATCTTTTTTCATGTTTTTTGTGTTAAAAAGGAGACTATTTTCTGTATCCCACTCTAGCATGCACCTATAATAATCCCTGGGTTTACTGCGTATGGGAGTAGGTTGTCCAACGACTGCACCTTCGGCCCGGTGGCCTGTCTTTGTGTTGCTCTGGAGAGACAAAGAACGTCGAGATTGGTGGAAAACACTGCTCTGTTGATTCCTTATTCAGATCTGTAGAGCAGTCCAGGAAGGAAGAATATTTTTGCATTAACTTTTCAGCTGACTTAGCAATAAAGATTTTTACTTTCATCTAAATACATATTCTGATTCCGTTACTGTGCTGGAGGGAATTTGTGCAATATCCCAGTCAAACGTGGCTGTGGCTGGCAGCAGCTGTGCGGTAGGGTCTCCCTCACTGCGCTCTGCGTGCTACGACGCTCCTCGGCCTTCCGCACAGAAGCGACTCGCAGAACATTGGGAGGGTGCAGTTCACACCACCAGTTATTAGGCAGCTTTTGGTATCCTGCCAGAGGAGTCCTGCCCTGCCAACCTGCTCTGAATAGGACTGTACCGCGCTCAAAGGAGCTGCGGCAAGCAGGAGGTAGAGAGTCATTAAAAGCAGCAGGACTGCAGCAGACTGCCCACGTCAGTCCCTGCGCTGGAGCACTCCATGTGTCTGGCTACTAAAAGGGAGGAGAAACCCAATAAACCCCAGAGTACCTGCTGTGTTCCTGTTTAGCATTTGTTTTCCTGCTGTATCCCTAGCTCCAGCAATGTTCCACGGTTTTGGTAATGGTGAGGATTTAGTCGCTGGTGCCAGTGAAACTGGAGGTGGACCCAAGACAGCGCACGTTTCTGCTGTGTTTAGTTTGGGGTTTTTTAACATGGGCAGAACTGGTCTGTGAGACCGGTGGCGGTTCCACCTTCCCACGGACAATGCACTTGGTGGGTGCTGCTCTGAAGTGACACTTCATTCTAAGGCATGATTTTGTGATTCTAGTGAGACTTTACTTTTCCCTGTTAAATTTCCTATAAAATTTTTTTAATAAGT